AGTATGCATGAAATTTATCACGCATGACCATTTACTTTAGATCATTTATAATTTCCATTGACAATGTTTAATTTTCAGGTATAGGTCTTGTACATATGTTGTCAGATTTATCTCTAAAAAGCATACTTTTATACTATTATAAACTCTATTTTCAAAATGTCAGTTTCTGGTTCTTTCTTTGTTACTATGAAAAATATAATTTGGGAATATTGACTTTTCTGTCCTACCACTGTGATAAACTCACTTATTAGTTATTACTAACACTTTTGTAGATTGTATAGAATATAATAAATAGTTGATAATTTTGTCTGTGAATAAAAAAGTTTTCATTTCCTCTTTTTCAACCTGTATGTCTATATTTCTTTTTCTTATTATACAACTTGGGCCCTCCTGTATGATGTTAAAGATGGCAAGAGAAGGCATCTTTACCTTCTTCTTGATATTAGTAGGAAAGCATTCAATCACTCATTAATACGTATGATGCAAGCTAATGGCTTTGAAAGACATATTTATGAGGTTGAAAAGTTTTATTTCTAACTTACTAAGGACTTTTTTAGTTTATTTATTTAATTTGGGAGAGAGCATGAGTGGGACAGAGGCAGAGAGAGAGGGAGAGAGAGAATCCCAAGCAGGCTCCATACTGTCAGTGCAGGGCTGATGTGGGGCTTGAACTTCTGAACCATGAGATCATGACCTAAGCTGAGGTCAGATGCTTGACTGACTGAGTCACTCAGGTGCGCCATCTTACTAAGGATTTTTATTAGGAAATATTGGCCTAGGTCAAGTGATTTTTCTAAATATGTTGAATGATCACATGATTCTTCTTTTCTGCATGCTAATTTGTCAAATTACATTGATTAACTTTCAAATGTTAAACTTAACTTGCATTTCTGGGATAATATCTACTTGTAATTGATGAATTACAAGTATTGTAATTCATACTTGTATGAATTGTTTTGTTATGTATTGTTATATGTGATATGTGTATGTATTGTTATATATGATTTTCTCAAAGTGGGTTAAACTTTGCATTGATATTTGGTATTGGTCTCTATTTTATTATAATGTTTTTGTTTATGTTGGTATCAGAGTAATACCAACCTTTTAAAATGAGTTGGTAAATATTTCTGCACTTTAATTTTATAGAAGAATTTGTATAAAATTGTACTATCTTTTCCTATGTGTTTAGTAGAAGTTAGCAGGAAACCATATGAGTGGAATATTCCTGGCATGAAGATTTGTAACTAAAATTCAGTTTTGTAGCAGATATTGAGTTGTTCAGGTTTTTTTTTATTTTTTCCTGAGTATGATGCCTAAGTTTATGTGTCAACTTGACTGCGCCATAGGATGCTCAGGTATCTGATCAAACATTATTCTGGATGTTTCTGTAAGGATATTAGGGATGATATTAACAATCAAATTGGTAGATTGGGTGAAGAAGATTGCACTTACTAATGTAAGTGGGCCTTGTTCAATCAGTTGAAGGCCTGAATATAGTAAAATGGCTGGCTTTCCTCTTAGGAAACAAGAATTATTCTGCTTGATAAATAGTTCAAACTGGGGCATTGGCCTTTTCCTGCCTTCAGACTCTAGTTGAAACACTGGCTCTAATGGGTCTTGAGTCTGCTAGACATTGGATGGGCAAGCTTGGTGACTACCCCTACAGATGTTAAAATCTGCCAGCCTCCATAATCATGTCGGCTGACTCCTCACAACAAATACCTCTCTCTCCATATAAATGCTGATTCTGTTTATCTGGAGAAATCTAATACATTGATTTTGGTAGTTTGCCTTTTAAGGAATGTGTCCATTTCAGATAAGCTGTCAGATTAATTTACAGAAAGCTGTTAAAAATATTTCTTTACTATCTTTTTATGTCTATGCAATCTATGGTGATATTATATTACTTCTCTCATTTCTGATGGGTATTTTGTGTCTTCTCTCTATTGTAATAAGTTCCATTCTAGAACTCTCAGATCTATTATTTGGAAATATAATGCTCTCTGATACACAGATGTGATTGGTTTGGAGAGACAGAAAAGTTTTAGATGTAGAAAACTTTTGTATAACTTTTTTCCTCACTAGAAGTTTCTGAGGTGGTTCCTACTGCCAATTTTCTGGAAACTGTATATTCTACAAAAGTGTTCCTTAAATTTAAAATTTTCATTAAAATCTTTCAGATTTTGTTTTGAGCCATAGATCTTATCTGTAAGGTCTTATAGGACCTTATACTGACATCAAATCACAACACACTGGGGCGCCTGGGTGGCTCAGTTGGGTAAGTGTCCAACTCTTGATTTTGGGTCAGGTCATGATCTCACGGTTTGTAGTCTCACGCTTACAGCAAGAGCCTGCTTGAGATTCTCTCTCTCCCTCTCTCTGGCCCTCTTCCACTCAGTCTCTCCCTCTTTCCCCTCTCTCTCAAAATAAATAAAAAACATTGAAAAAACACACTGATTTGAATCATAAATATTTATATGCTTTTATACTCCTCATTGAACAAGGATTTCTTTCAGAACAAGAGTTCTTGCCCCCATTCAACCCTGTATTCAGATCCATGAGACCACAGAATGGTGCACTCAGTACAAATTTTCAATTGACTTGTTAAAGATACGACTACATTTGTCCGTGTTGAGACCATCAGTAATACTCAAGATGGCCATTTCTCAAAAGGGAGTGGCTGGAAACAGGTTAAAAATGGTTAAAGAGTGAGGGGGTGTGAGGGAGTGAAAACAGCAAGTTCTACTCACACATTTTACACTGTGTGGAGCTGATGAAGTGAAAAGTTTCCATGACCACTGCTGTGATAATTGGTATTAGCACTATATATTCTTGGCATTTTAAATGAAAATTACTGCCTTCGTTCATACTCCCACTGGTGTACTAAAAAGCTCAGCCACTGTATGACTTAGAGCTGTTAGTCCCAAGAAATACACTTAGATCATTTGGTTGAACTTGTTCTTTTGATTTTCCTATTTTTCGTCTCAAATTTTCCATCACTTGTGCCTTTTTAAGTACTCCTTTAAAATCTAAGAGAGACCCTAACATTTTAGAGTGTCCACTTTTTGTAGTATGTAAGGGAAGCAACTTCTGTAAAGTTACCTTGTTGCCTATGGCTGCTCGTGAGATTTCCTGCAAGGTGGGAGGAATTGTGTTACCCACTTCCCAGCATCAGACTTATATAATGTATACATATTTATCAAATTGGCATCATGTGTTTAGGATAGTTTGACTTAAAATATGAACTATATATTATGTGGAAATATATATGTATTTATGGGAGGATCCCTAGGGAGTTCTTTACAAAGGGTGTATATGTACATCATTTTTTAAAAGTATATATAGATATTAAGTATTTAGTAGACTTTAATATACATAAATTAAAATATATATATGTACATATATATATTATCAGATAGATAACTTAGAATAGGGAATTGGGTCAGGAATCTACTTTCTGAAAAACTAAAAAAAAAAAAAAAATTAAAGAAAGTGTAGCCACCTAAAGAGAGAGGGTTTGATTTCCAGAGGAATTGACCCTGAAGTAAAATGAATAGACTGTTGGACTGTTGATTGGATCTGATATGTTCTAGTATTAGGAAATAAAAATAAAGTCCAGAGTGAGCAATGTCCAGGAAATAATTGGAAGAGACAGGTCACCAGGATCAAGATGTCTTAAATGAAATAAATTTGGATGATTTCAAATATTTTCAATATGTTATATTAAGGAACTGGTCAAGTAGTTCACTACTTCAAATTTTCCAGTAATGTAAATTCTGACACAGAAAGGGGACCTAGGGGCATAATGTAGATCCGCACTGTTAAGATCATGTTTGAACCAATTCTTGTGACTCCACTGACAATCTTTATTAATGAAGAAACTTTGTGAATCCAGACATGGGAGATGACATTCAAGTCTACAATATATTAACCAGTGATAAAAAAAAAAAAAAAAAAGAAGAATTGGTATTTATCACCCAGGTATCACTCAGTTCCTCAAAATAGGAAATCATTAAAAATTTCCTTATAATTATAATAAGCCTCATCAAAGAAGAAGATCTATAGTGGAGGCTTTAAATTTTATCTGGCTGCTTCTTATATGGAAGATTTTCAGTCTACGCCCCACAGTAAGCAGCAGAATAAATGTATTCAGATGTGCTCTGATTAATGTAAATTATGGAATATTAGATTTTGTTATAAAAGTAAAGTTATTATTAGTCCTTACTAATTGTTACAGTATAGAAAAACATTACAAGTATATTTTTCTATTAAAATATTTAGGTGATCAATGATTCTCCCAAATACTTAAAAATACAGCTAGTAATAAAATGTTTTAGTATTTCTTTTTCAATACTACTTATTTAATGAGTGCTTAATATATATCAAACATATTATATATCTATCTAATCCCACACACCTTGTAAAATGTTTTGATACCTTTTTTAAATCGATGAAAACTGAGGGTCACATAATTTAAACAACTATCCCAGTGTCAGATATGACAATTAGATTTATCATATTAATGTTTAAGTATTTGATAATTATTTATTTAATGTGTATCTCTTCTTGTTAAACTTTGGACACTGAAAGTAGAGACTGTCATGTTTGCTACTTAGACCCTTTTCCTGGCACAACAAGAAAAATAAATAAATAAATGGTTTGATGGGCTCAATTTTCAGAGGTTTGAGATTTCAGAAAAGCAATTAGATAGGTAGGTTGTTGCTGTATTTGTGTGAATTTCCTGGTGCACATATATTTCTGAACTTAAATATCCACATGAGTAACCTCTTTTTGTAAGTATTTTTGGAATTTCCCTTTGTTTGGGGAGTGAATTTAATCTTATTCATAGGAATTTTCTGGGTTGTGTTACATATGTGCCATTTGTGGATAGGTTTGGTTTCAGGATCGTGTAAAACATCATTCAGAGTTAACTCTAGGGTCTATGGTGGGTGATTAAAATAGAAAATACATTAAAATAAAGTGTGCAATAAAGTAAGGGAAAAAAATTAGTAGTAGTGCTCTGAGCTGGGCTCCTGGTGGGCTCAGTCGGTAGAGAATAAGACTTTTGATCCCAGAGTTGTGAATTTGAACTCCATGTTGGCTGTAGAGGACTTAAAAAAGTCTTTTGGGGTGCCTGGGTGGCTCAGTTGGTTAGGCGTCCAACTTTGGCTCAGGTCATGATCTCACTGTCAATGAGTTCAAGCCCCGTGTTGGGCTCTGTGCTGAGAGCAGAGCCTGGAGCCTGCTTTGGGTTGCATCTCCCTCTGTTTCTGCTCCTCCCCTGCTCATGTTCTCTCCCTCTCTCTCTCTCTCTCAAAAATAAATAAAATATTTAAAAAATATATTTAAAGTGCCTTCAAATGTCCTAAAAAAGAAGTACATGCTTGACCTTCACAGTGGATTACTTGAACATAGTCAACATTCATTAGGTGTTTTTTTTTTTAATGGAATCCTGATTTAAAAATCAAACCAAATCTCAACATAATTTGAACTTCACAGATTTAGAATTTATAGTTATGAATGTTAAACATTTTCAGTTCTTTTCATTGGTCAAAACATTTTTATTTTATTTCATTTTATTTTTTATATGAATATAATTGATACACAACATTACACTAATTTGAGGTGTACAAAGTGATTTTTACAAGTTTATATATTATACTATGTTTCACATGTGTAGCTACCATCTGTCCCCATACAACATTATTATAATATCCCTGATAATATTTCTGTGCTTTTATCCCTGTGATTTTGAATGGAGAATTCTTTTAAAGAAGGGAAATAAACACCATTCATGCCAAAGTTAATTAAAAAAGCATTTGTGTGTGGTGTGTGTGTGTATCTATATATACACACATTGAGGGAGAATTTTGCTGACTTTGCAATTTGTTTTGAGGCTCTATTAAAATCAATGTAAGAGAAGAACAGCCAAGTTCCTTCGAGAAGTATTCTATTCTGAAAATTTGGAAGCCAGCATACACTGTAAATAGAACATGCATCACTATTTGAAAAGTGGCTCACAGGGGATAGTGGGGAAAGAATTCACTCCCAAGAAATTTACCACCTTTTCTATATGTTCAAAAGAAAGAAGAGAAAGGAATATACTGGAGACACATGTAGCATCACTGGTGATTTGCTCATCTCTCCCAGGTCTAAGAAAGTAAGTGAAATTCAATGAGCTCTGGGTAATCTGGGTATCATCACCATGAGTCTCATCCCATATTGTTTTAGCTTTGGGTTTTTGATAGGTTTAGAGAAAGGTATTATGGCTGAATTAGGTCAGAGGAGTTATTCTTTAGGTGGTGAACCCCTTTTTATGTGCTGCTTTAGATTATCTTAAGGTTGTTTAAAATACAATTGTTTCATATTTCAATTAAGCATTAAATATTTGGGAAGTTTTGCCTTAAGGTACTAAGCTTACATGTCAAATAAGACAAACAAAATCCTCTGTCCTCAAGAGCATATACTCTAGTCAGTTCTAATAAACTGACAGGACACTGGGTAGTAACTCAGATTATAGACCCTAGGAAAGTTTAAAGTCAAACCAAAAAAATTGGCTCAATGGCTCATTGGAATAGTGCTATTATTTATCTTGCAGAACATTTCAGAGAGATTGCAAACTAAGACTCTCTCTAGCAACATAGAATTCAGGTATTCAAAAAGAAATAGTAAAAAAAAAAGTCTTATCCCACACAGGGAACCTGGTGGCTGGCTGGTAGTGACAAAGGGCAGGTTATTGAGAAGGGGAAGTGTGCCTGTGTCTCTATTAGAAATATCTGCCTTGGGGGATATCTGGGTGGTTCAGTCAGTTAAGCAACGACCTCTTGATTTCAGCTTAGGTCATGATCTTACAGTTTGTGGGATCAAGCCCCACATCAGGGTTCACAGTCACACTGCAGAGCCTGCTTGGGATTCTCTCTCCTTCTCTCTCTGTGCCTTTCCCCCTGTTTTTTCTCTCTCTCTCAAAATAAATAAGTTAAATTAAAAAAATAGAGATATCTGCTTTGGATGATAGGGAGAAGAATGGACCTGCTAGGCCGTTATTTCTTATCACTGCTCTAAAAAAATCTGTTAATGCATATGCTGTCTCTCAAGCAGAAAAACTTGAACATCCTAACTCAGTTCCATACATTAAATACATATTGTTCAATGTGAAAAAAATATAACATTTCTATCATTCATAAACATCATGATATTTTTCCCTTTGAAGAGAATTCAATCCCAACTCTCCATATTATAGACTCAGCAAATCCTCTTGTATGACAGGAATAGATAATGGTAGCATCTTGGTGCAATAAAACAGTACACGTCACTTGTCGATGGTCAAACAACATTGTCAATGTATCTATTGTAATTCTGTGCTTGCTTCCTTCTCTCAGCACTAGACTGGACTCCTTGGCAAATGAGGGGATTCCCTTCTGCATCTTCAGTGGCCAGCACAACATCATAGGCACTCAACAAACATTTGATGAGTGAGCAAATAAAGAAAAGTTGTCATAACAGTTATCCTGCCAAATGTATGATGATGGTGATGGGAAGGGGGAGGTGTTTCAGTCATTTATCTGAACAACCACAGCTGCTAAAAGATCAGTCCAAGAAAGTGATTTGTCAGACAGGTCCAGGCAAGAAACTCTTTTTGGATCTTCTCATTTTCAGACAGGCTGATTACAGCTGGTAAACACAAGCTCATGATGTAAGATTCAATAGGCATTGCAATTGTTGTGCATCCAAGCGGTTTCAAAAATCATCTTGCCATCAGCAGGATTCCTGGCCCATTTTTAGGAATGTCCTGCCTATTTCAGGCAGTTTGTCTTGATTCCTAGATCCATATGCTCATGGAAGTGTCCCACTGAGCACAAACTGGCCCAGATGCAACCATAAATGTGGTCCCTCTGATTCCCAAACATTTGCCCTTTAATGGCAATTAAGTGATAATACATTGTTCCTGACTTCATGATACATGAAATCAATGTTGCACTTCTGTTTAAAAAAGAATCTTTGGTACATGATTTAGCTGTCATACCTTCATTTTGGGCATGTGAATTACCATTTTAAATGAAGCACTCTAAAGTGACTCAATTTCTTTATCATATGAATCTACTCTCACCTATCTTATCGGTTTAGTTGTTTTGTTGCTATTGTTAGTTGCTAATACAGGTAACCGTCATCACTCCATTCTTTCCTCCTGCTTTACTTTGGGGAATCTTGTTTTGTTGGTCACTTACATGTTCCCACTGTCATGAGTTAAGTATATCTGGATCAATAGGAGGATCAATCTGGATCTACTACAAACCTGTCTTGGGTATGAGGCCCTCTGCTCCATATGGCTGCTGTGCACTTCTCTAGAAACCCTGGCCCTTGTCATGTGGTGCACAGGATTTTCTCCTATAGATCCAGACTACTACCGTTTCTCTTCACTACTTTGTCCCACGTGTCCTCACAGACCCTTGCTTTAGCTATAGTAACAGCTAGGACCAGATAGTAACTTGTGATATGATATTAGACGCAAATTGAGAGATAAGGAAAGAGAAGTATAAGACAACAGAGTAATTTATAGTTTCTGCTAAAGCTCACCTGTGCAGCATCATGGCCATGATGATCCTGTTGAGAACAGTGCTATCTCTTCACAAATTTTGTCAAATTTTTCCCCTATTTCCAGTGTCCATGTTAGTGGCAATACTTTACAGGTGAGTATCGTACTCACTGACTTCCTCAGTTCTTGTGTCTTGGCACCTGATCTATTCTTATAAACCATGATTAACAATAGAATATCCACTTTTCCAGCAAAACCCCATTAGCCAGGCACAAGGATGTGGTCTTGTCAATGACCACTAACAGAGATTAATTACTCTCAAATACAATAAGCTAAGAGTAGAATCTTCTAGAATTTCTAGTCTTATACCATGTAGTGTATAGTATATAAAGAAAATATGAATAATCCAATCCTGTTTGAGACTGATGAGGCCAGTTTATTTCTGTACATTTTCCCTTTGTCTTTTGCAGATGTCTGTGTATCCTTTCTACATTATTCTCTCAGCTCTTCACCCTCTAAGAATTTCATAATCTACCTTGCCATGCACATGGGGACAAATAATATAAGAAAGACCAATTTGGGAACAAGTAACAAGGAAACAGCATCATTTAAACTCTCCATAGAAAAAATATCATTTCCTTTAAAAGATAAATGGATAATAAAAGATGTCTCAGAAATACATTCTTCTCTTACCATTCAAATTCAACATTGTATTAGAAGAATTAGGCAGTGAAATGAGAGAAGAAAGAGAGAAAGAGGCTTACATGTTAGAAAGAAAGAAATAAAACTGTCTTTTTTTTGTAAATGTAATGATTGTCTACACAAAACATCCCAAAAAAATCTATGAAAAGCTCTTAGAACTATTAACTGTGATATAAGACCATGAGATAAAAGATTATATACTAAAGTCAATTTTCTCTATGTACTAACTCATCACTGGTATTTGAATTATGTTTCAACTGATAATGAAAACAAAAATAACCCAATACTATTAACAAAAGTACCCCCAAATCCCAGATCACTGGATAGACATCTAATTAAATATGTAGAGAATTTTTATGGTAATAGCTAAAAAATACTTACAGCCAAATTAAGATGTTAAAAATGGAGAGATAGACCATGCTTATTTATGCACTGTAAGTATCAATATTAAGATACCAAATCTTCCCAAATTGATCTAAAAATTCACTGTAAAATTCTTTCAGATTTTTTTGTAAGTCAACAAGTTAAAAAAAACTCATTACAAGATAAAGGAACGAGAATAGTCAAAATAACTTTGAAAAGAAAAACAAAGTTGGAGGATTTATAGTATTTGTTTCCAAGTCTTGCTATAGAGCTACAGTAATCAAGACAGTGTGGAAATCATGTAAACATAGCCATAGAGAACGATGAAACAGAAGAGAAAGTCCAGAAATAGACCCACACACACAAACTGCCATAAATGGTCACATAATTTTGAGAAAATGAACAAAATTGCTA